TTAATATTTTCGTCATTTATAATCTTATAACTATTTTCTAATTTAATAATTATAAGGTTTATAGTCATAGAATTTTTAGTTATATATGTAAATTGTGCCTGATGCCTCTCTTTTTCTTTCCCTCTAATAATTACATACTTATGAATAATATTTATTTATTAATTTAATTAAGTGCATTAAAAGTACTATAACTTAAAAAGAATGTACAAAACAGTAATTTTCTTTATAATGTTTTACATTATATTTATTATAAGATATCCAGTATTAAATTATTGGTAAAACACTGAATTGGTAATTTATTAATTTACGTTTTAAGCCAATTATAATACTTATAATTTTGCCAAACATTACTTATTATAAAACTTTAATTATAGACAATTTTAATTAAATATTTAATAAATATTAACGGAATTGCAGTACAACTACACGACAGCACTAATGCCGGCGCCAAACGATACCCACAAACAGGACTCACAGCTAATTATATCGGATGTACTGAAAACACGTCTTGAAAGTCGGCCATCGGTGGACATCCGACAGCCCACAGCTGATCCATTGGGTGATCAGACAATGGGCTCCAAGACATGGCAACACCTGCGGGAACAGCAATACCTGAGCGATGAGCTCAAGGCGTGGAAAGAGATGGTCGAACACCAGAAGGCAATTATGGAGAAAATACGGTCGGAGTTAGAGAAACAGCAAACCCTTAACCGGGAAAAGGATATCACTATCGAGTCGTTGAGAAATCTGCAGAAATTGCACACAAAGTCCACGATTGACAGCGAGATTCCGGAATATTCTGTTGAGGATTCCATCGAGAATTTTCCGGGAGATTCTGCTGATAATGATGTGTTTGATAGCGATGTTAATGAGATTAATGTTAATAATAATAATAACAATAATGATATTACTCTTAAAGGAGACAAAAATATTGCTAAACACAGTAATAATAGTAATATTAATGATAATAATTATAATACGGAAACCGATAACTCTTTATCGGACGATGAAATGGATTTAAGCAAACTGTTTGTCTCGGAGTCACACAAGTCTGACCTGAGGTCCGGCGCTCACGAGGCCCGGGATGTGAGCTCTGTGTCGACCATCGATGAGACAGTGGCGGACCCGTTGGCCGCCGACGACAATGAGTTTACAGGCAATAGTCCCGCGATATTTGATCGTACGGTTAGTGTTGACGTCTGGACTACAGATCAGGAGCGCCGTAATAATGATGATAATCGTTATGGCAGCGATGTATGTAAATGTACAAAGTTTATATTATGATTTTTTAATCGTGCTATTATTTTGCTATACAGGAGAGTTTGTATTCTGGGGATGGGTTAGAGAAAATGTCCCCGATTTCAATGCCCGAGGAGTTACTGGTAAACCATAATCGGGTCCATAAGAAAGTATTCATACCATACAGTCATGAAGGCTGTAGTGTTAGGGTATAATATGTCATTATGTTAAAAATTTTTATTAACTGAATCATGTTGTTTTCAAATTGGTTAGAATATTTAAAATTAAATATATATTTAATCTAGGCAATAAAGCTATATTTTAGTTTTTAATCGCTCCATACAAGTAGGTTAAACACTTAAATTATATGCACAATAAATTGAAAAAGTTAATCTATTAAATATAATATTTAATATTAATTAAAAATTCTCGATAGGCTCCATTTCCAATAAAATGGACATATACAATATATATATAAATATGTAAATTATTTGTAAAATACATAATTACAGTTTATAAAATATAGTTCATCTCCCTAGAATAAACTACTAAAAAGTTACATTTATAATTACAATTTAATAACATAGATATTTGGTAAAATGAATTAATCATATACGAATAACATAAATATTTTGTTGCCAATCGACAATTTAAATTTGTCATAAAAATATTAGTTTTACAGTTAAAATTCTATTAAATTTTAATGTTTAAATATTTTCTCTCTCTCTCTCTCTCTCTCTCCCCTCTCTCCCCAATACAGAGGCACTCATGTAAGGGACGAGTGATATACTATGGAAACCATCCGCGCAAACAAAGACTGGAGCTTAAAAACGTGGACATAGTTTTCCCTCAAATAAATGTATTTATAACATAATAAATATAATTCACCATCATGATTGCATAATTTATTCTTTATTTATTTAAATTTTATTTCATATTAGGAACATTTACAAAGGCCGAAAAATTCGTAATTTTATAAATAAAGTATATTTGTATTGTATTTTATAAATGTAATTCATTGTTAATAATTAATAAAGCTGACTAGTTAAATTAAGCAAATACACTTTAATAAACTTATTTTCTTTTATATTAATATTTCATTACATAAATTACTACATTTTAATTATTATTTTGGCATTATCACAATAGATTACATAAAGTGATTACTCCTATACAACTTTAATTATTTAAATAGTGCTTTAATAATATTAATTTATTAACTTAAATAATGTTAACATTTGGTTAATTGTTGAGCAGTGGTTGTGTAAAATGATTAACACATTTGACAAGCATTTGAATAAAGAATACTTTGTAATCAATAATAACATAAATTAGGATAATATAATCAATAATAAATGTGCATGTTGAACATGATAATGTTAATGTTGATAGCCACTGCAATCGGACATTAGAACCCCGATTTATTAATATTTTCGTCATTTATAATCTTATAACTATTTTCTAATTTAATAATTATAAGGTTTATAGTCATAGAATTTTTAGTTATATATGTAAATTGTGCCTGATGCCTCTTTTCCAACGTTCCCTCATTGATGTTAAGTGTATTGTTGTATTATGTACATTAATATTAATAGGATAATTAATGTAAATTTTTTTAACAAAATTTATTGCAGACTTTATGCATATATTAGATGCAAATAGCATTGAAAAGCCAAACCATAGGCTGAATACACTGCTAATGAGACAGAGAATCTCAACGAATGATATTTTTGGTGTTTGTTTGTATATAAGTGTGGGCTGAGAGGGCGTCTTGAACTAAAAGTATTCAGTAAAATTGTGTAAATCTTTGATTGACCATGGTTGACGGTGATCTTTCTGCACAAGGTGATAATATTCTTGGTAACAATCAAGACTTTTAAAACACTTTTCTCTGCACTCTGACAGCGATATATTGATTTGACTCGAATCGACAAATCGCTGAATTAGTTTCCGATCATAAACGAGATATCTGTCCGGCAATGACTGGTTTGCGGCCGACAAGCGATCCGACACACAGTTTGCCCAACAGTCGAATGGAAAGCTCAGACGCCGGGCCCGGTAGTCAACACACCCGGGATTGTATGGGTTGGGCAGGAGTTTGACAATTGTTTTCTGATATTCCAGTGATACCATTTGGTAATTTGTGGCCACATTCATGTAACCACGTTGAGAATGTCGTCTAATTGTGTGGTCCCTTTGGTGTATGTGTAACATAACATTATCGCCAAATAACGTGTTTCTAATCTGTATAATAAAATATGATTTGCTCGGTTTGTTGTCGATTTGGTATCTATTGTCAAACAACTGGCCGTCCATTTGCGTGAATAATGACATACAATAACGAGCCTCGCTTATTGACAGTCGTATGGGTGTTATATCTGAACAATTAACTTTG